TGTCAAACAGAATGTGCTATAAAACTGATCATAGGTTGATGCCTTGTTGCCTTTTACTAATGAAAGTTTGAGGCTGCAGAATACATTTTCCTACCCAATTAACAAGGTTGTTTTAGTAGATGCATATCAACGAGTCCAATGTGTACCTTGAGTATCATTTTTATTGTAGTGTTGGCATCCAAGCTACATCATCTGAAACTGATGGAAGTCATGTCTTATAAGATGTTCTCTTGTTGTTTTCTTGTGTACCTACTGGCAGGTGTACAAACGCCACTGACATGGAGGTATGCATCTATCCCATAATCCTCAGCGCCTGCTTCTGGATCTGGGGAAATATGAGACACCGTGATAGGGGCCAGCGAGACGACACACTAACGCTAGCCAATCAGAACACAGAACATCTGGAATCTGACTACAGGCAGTTCTGGCAAGCCTGACACAGAGACAGAGGCTGGAGGCAACAGAGGAAAATAAAAAGAAACGTTTCAGCAAAATGGCTGACAGCAAGAAGAATAGAATGAGGGAATTCTCCTTGTTAACTTGAGAAGGACTTATAGTAGGAGAGAATATGGAGTTTAGACTGGAACTCTTTAGCTAATTAATTACATTACAGTGATCAATTATGTGCTACAAGTGGATGAAAATCAGCAGGACTGATTAACCCTCCAGGACTGGAGTTTTTCACCCATTCAAATGAAAGGGCAAAATCTCAATTTATACTGTGGACATTCAATTCCCATCTATGACCAACATGTACCACACCCAGGAATTAAACACAATGTTTAGTTTTCATAGGTCAGAGAAATCATCACATCATCCTCAAACACAGACTGGACATAGTTGAGTCTAATGGCATGACTGATTGTTGCATTAATGTTTGAAGGGAAACAGTTGGGAATCCTGGGGAGATCTTCAACTGTGTGACAGGTCCTAATGATAAACACTCTGACCCTTAGGGAACATCACATTCCAGGGCTTTAGGCTGGACCAGACAACCACTATCCACCATCCACTAGAGACCTGGATTCAAATTCTATTTAAAATCTTTAAAATACTTTCAGCGTTTGCTTTGGCTGCCTGGATGTGCCAGATGGGCGGGGCTTACAGTTTTAGGGCTATTCTATTGGTCCATTAAACCAGGGAAGCCAGATAAAGTATTTAAAATTATTTTAAATAGTGTTTGAACACAAGTCTTATTCACTAATGCTCTGAGAAAGTTTTGTCTAAACAACTATCAAGACATGATGACTCATTGAAAGTCAATGTTTAAGGTGCATTACCACCTATGGTGACTCATATACAGTACATTAGGTCTTGACTTGATTTAGGCCTTTATGAGCATCTCTTGATTCAAATACTGGTTGTTGATGCTTGATGTTTAGACAGATCAAACACTATACATAGATATCAACAGAACTCTTGTTCTAAATACTACTCAAACGAGGAGTCATGTTTTTACACGTAGACCTGTATTTGTTGTCAACTCTCTCTTAATGAAAAGATACTGGAGTCTTGCAGGCAGGGAGCATTTTTCATTTTATATTCATGAACGCAGGCTGGTCTCAAAGTAGTTCAAGATTTCCAGCGTCTCAGTCAGAGAACATGAGCCATGTTGAGCTGCACTGCATTGGGCGTGCAACCATCTTTCAAACACATTTCATCCCTGCAGTACTCGCCCCTCCCCTCTCTGATCTCTCCTCTCCTTTCACTCAGGGAGAGATATTTGAGTATGGGTTGTCTGGCTATTCCAGCGATGACACATTTTTTTCTGGCACTGCTCAGGGAGGAGAGGGGAGGCCAGTGGAGGAGGTCCATGGAAAAAGAAGAACAGCGCATCGGCCATTTTGAGGCAGACTAGGCTACATCAGTGGCTAGATTAAGGCCCCAACATTCATACCCAGTTTATTTTCTCTGTATTAAGACTGTTGGCGTCATTACAGTGCATGGTCCACATCTTTCCTATATTGTTTGCACTGCCTGGGTTTATTAGAGATAGCACAGATATCAGAGGAGGTATTCCTAATGGAAAAGAGGGCATTTGCTCTTGTAAATTATATCTGCTTTGTTGCAAAAAATAACTGTGTTCTCATTTGACTTCTGATTGAATGACGGTATAAATGCATGAATCAATACATGAACACAATGAATAAACCAGCACATGACAATACAAGTGGAATATTGTCAGGGTGGAGATAGGCCACAAATGTTATCAAGAGAGAGTCCGGATATGGGCCGAAACTTGTCAAACATATAACTGCCAAACCGTTGGCAACTGTGGTTAGTTAGATCAAGTTAAAACATATGAGTAGTTCTGATATGAGTCTGCATAGATGTTACTGTAATCATGTTCCTCTCTGGTGAAGCTGAACATGACAGCCATATGAAGTAGGCCCTCATTTCCCTAAGGGGATGTATAAAGTCTTATTGTAGGAATGTGTGTCTTTGGGGTGTCTGTGATGTGTGATTCACTCTTCTTCTCTGAGAAAACAGTCTTTATGGCCTACTTTTCATCCTTTCCAAACTACATTAAACTAAGTCTGTTTTACTTTACAGGGAATGCAGCTTCCATAAATGATATACACTACCGGTCAAAAGTGTTTTTCTTTATTTTTACTATTTTCTACATTGTCAAATAATAGTGAAGACATCAAAACTATGAAATAACACATATGGAATCATGTAGTAACCAAAAAAGTGTTAAACAAATCAAAATATATTTTATATTTGAGATTCTTTAAATAGCCACCCTTTGCCTTGTTGACAGCTTTGCACACTCTTGGCATTCTCTCAACCAGCTTCACCTGGAATGCTCTTCCAACAGTCTTGAAGGAGTTCCCACGTATGCTGAGCACTTGTTGGCTGCTTTTTCTTCACTCTGCGGCCCGAATCATCCCAAACCATCTTAATGTGGTTGTGGTCGGGGGATTATGGAGGCCAGGTCATATGATGCAGCACTCCATCACTCTCCTTCTTGGCAAAATAGCCCTTACACAGCCTGGAGGTGTGTTGGGTCATTGTCCTGTTGAAAACAAATGATAGTCCCACTAAGCCCAAACCAGATGGGATGGCGTATCGCTGCAGAATGCTGTGGTAGCCATGCTGGTTAAGTGTGCCTTGAATTCAAAATAAATCACAGACAGTGTCACCAGCAAAGCACCCCCACACCATAACACCTCCTCCTCCATGCTTTACGGTGGGAAATACACATGCGGAGATCATCTGTTCACCCACACCGCATCTCACAAAGACACAGCGGTTGGAACCAAAAATCTCCAATTTGGACTCCAGAACAAAGGACAAATTTCCACATGTCTAATGTCCATTTCTTGTGTTTCTTGGCCCAAGCAAGTCTCTTCTTCTTATTGATGTCATTTAGTAGTGGTTTCTTTGCAGCAATTCGACCATAAGGACTGATTCACACAGTCTCCTCTGAACAGTTGATGTTGAGATGTGTCTGTTACTTGAACTCTGTGAAGCATTTATTTGGGCTGCAATTTCTGCGGCTGGTAACTCTATTGAACTTATCCTCTGCAGCAGAGGTAACTCTGGGTCTTCCATTCCTGTGGCGGCCCTCATGAGAGCCAGTTTCATCATAGCGCTTGATAGTTTTTGCGACTTCTTGAAACGTTCCGGATTGACTGACCTTCATGTCTTAAAGTAATGATGGACTGTCGTTTCTCTTTGCTTATTTGAGCTGTTCTTGTCATAATATGGACTTTGTCTTTTACCAAATAGGGCTATCTTCTGTATACCCCCCTACCTTGTCACAACACAACTGATTGGTTCAAACACATTAAGAAGGAAATAAATTCCACAAATTAACTTTTAAGAAGGCACACCTGTTAATTGAAATGCATTCCAGGTGACTACCTCATGAAGTTGGTTGAGAGAGTGCCAAGAGTGTGCAAAGCTGTCATCAAGGCAAAGGGTGGCTATTTGAAGAATCTCAAATATAAAATATATTATGATTTGTTTAACACTGTTTTGGTTACTGCATGATTCCATATGTGTTATTTCATAATTTTGATGTCTTCACTATTATTGTACAATGTAGAAAATAGTAAAAATAAAGAAAAACCCTTGAATGAATAGGTGTTCTAAAACGTTTGACCGGTAGTGTACATATATAGACTTTCACAACTTTGATGTGGCAAGGACATGTCTGTCTTTATAGTAGCCACTTATTTACTATTGAATGTAAGATAATATCAACATCTTTAATGTGCAAAATCTTTGAAGAGGCCAAATGACTGTGAGAGGTACAGATAGCAATATTGAGGTAGTAGTGTGACTACTGACATGTCTGGTCATGTGGCCATCTGAAATTAGATCCCTCTCACCTGCCCATTGTATACTCAGCCTAAGCAGTCGACAATCTCCATTTCATTCCATGGCAATGCACAGGTTCTTCCTGAATACAGGGCTTAGTACCTTTTGAACACCGGATCCACCAACACCTGTGTTATAATTTATTAATTCATTAACAGATGTGTTATAATTGATAGCAGCAACACCCATATACTCTACTGTAATGAATGTTGCTAGGGGGTGATCTGTCATTAAACATGGGGTTTTATTCACTCAGATAGACATATCAAATATTTGGAAACAAAATGCTATTCATTAATTTTCTGCTTGGATTAACTGAAATTGCTTTATTTTATCTAGGAGTAATTTAGACCATTTAGGGAAGCTTTACAATGTTGTCTGGCAGGGAGAGGCCTGTGTGTGAAGTCAGTTAAATGATTGTGCATACAGTAAATAGTGATTATAATAAACAGAGCATAATTTCATTAAAGAAAGTGAATACAGCCGGCATTTCGTGGAAAATAAGTCAAATACAAGCGAAATTCGCCATAACAAATACAACTTGAAGTACAAACAGACCACTTCGAAATTAAATGAATTATTTAAAAAAAGACAAATCTCTTGCATCCTCTCCCTGTATGGAATTTGCTTCTTTAAATCCGATCGAAAGAATATGCACGGCCCCAGTGCCCATGGATTCCTGCGCGCACCGCACTGGACATATTACGCACAAGACCCGACCCCGCAAAGCGCAAGGTGACAGTCAGATGCCCAACGCGCCTTCACTCAGCCCCGACGCACTGACTGAACTACCCCTTCCCTCTCGGCTACACGTCCAGTGTGATGAACTACCTTGCAAAAAGTCAGAAAAAAATGCAGGTCTTGCTCCTTTTAAAACGTCTACATTGTCCACGTCCTCAAGAATTGATCTAATTAAACCGTTGCACTCGTCATCATCGCCGAAGCATTGCCAACGTTTCTGAGAGAAGGCTGGAGATGTAGGACCACATGACTTATTGGGGCTGGGATGGGATGGGAGTCATAGGATTTCACTTCTCCTATTGGTCCGGGGGCGAACTCTTGACACGCAGACAAAGGAACCTCCTGCCATATAAATAGGACTGATTAGTCTTTATTATTCTAGCATCACGGCAGCAGGTTTCCAAGCTTGGAGTTACTCTAGTCACCACAACTGTATGCCTGCTTGAAGTAGTTAAAACAGGGCACTGCAGCACAAGGAGTCTGCATGTCTGCTTAGACATGCTCAGCTTTGTGGATAACCGGATTCTGTTGCTGCTTGCAGTAACTTCATTGCTAGCATCATGCCAATGTAAGTTTGATATCTGCTTTCAGTGTTTTACCGAGGATTTTTGGTCCCGTTTTAAGAGTTCGGGAGGACTCTTATGCTTGGGTTTTTATTTGGAACTTACTTGGAAATCAACCCGAGGACAGCTAAAAGTTATTTTGAGGGCTTCCCTCTGGCTATCCCGTATAAAACCGAACGGATCCTGGTCATTTCGGTGGATTCTTCATTATTTTTCCGTGGATACAATTGCCAATTTGATTAGTCTCAGAGAGAGAGAGAAACGCCCTGATCAAAAAAAGTTATCACAGCCTTGAAGGAATTGTTTAAAGTTGTTAATGTAGTGACTTTGAATAGATTTTAGCCCAGTGGAACTACCACCATTTAGACTACAAATTGAATTTATCTTTAAAAGTTTGGGGCATTGTACATACTTTTCCAGGAGTCCAGCGAATTAACTTTTATTATAGGGAATTGAAAGGTCGCCCCCTAGTGGTCATATTGAACAGGATACCTTTTGGCATCAACCCTCTTCGATGTCTTTTCTGTAGAAATATATACAGATCTTTACAAATGTATATATTTTCGATCCCAGAATTATTTCTACATATTATTGATGTTACTTAGCGCAATGTATGGCTTATTTTCTGGGCCTTGTGGAAGAAAAGGTATTGTGTAGTTAGGGTTAGGGCTATTTCGTTAAAATGAAGTTATTATCAATATTATAAGAATATAAGTCATTAGTTTAAAGCAATAAACACGACATGTGAGTTATATTTACAAGTAATATAAGTTAAAACAATATTTTCCATGATTATATTATTTTTAGTGTCCAAAGGCGTCACCTAGTGGTGAGGGCCTGACGCCGCAGTATTTCAGAGGAGGTGCAATGCCGCTCCATCATAAGCAGAGCAGGACCAAATGTAGAACAATAACCAGTTGTTATGTCACATCAAATTGAGGACACCACTGAGGCTTGTACAGGAAAAGCTTAGGTCATGATTGGTCATCACCAGCAACATAAGATGATAGTTCTTCAAAACTATTAAGAATGGTTCTTGAATTAAATCTTTATTCAACTAATTTAGTCATTTAGACCAAATTGAACTCCTCAAAATGAAGTTGCCTTTTATAGGATAGAATTGGGAAGGATGGAATGAAACAGAATAGGATAGCATAGGACAGGATATAATTTGCTCAGGTATTATCAAAACACTTCTCACTTGAGTTATAGTTGTGCATCCACATAACTAATAACACAATACTTATTTCTGGTCTCCTCTCCACCACAATGCCAAGTTGTTGTCCTTATGGGATGTGGGAGTACAGGCCTGTAATCACCTGACTGCTGGCTCATTAGCTAGTGTTTGATTCACACTGAAATGAACATTCAGTGGGATGTTGTAAACAATGCAGAAGATTATAATGGTTTTTAGACATGTTTGAAGATGTTTTATTTTCCTGAGAGACAACTGCTGCTTAACTGTAGAAACTAGTTTATTAGCAGTATGTGTATTTAGCCAATGATTACAGAGGTATAGGCCCTGAAGAAAACCTCAGGCCTTCTGAAACCCAAATGTGTTGACAAACTCTATTAGCAGATTTATATGGCCAGCTTGGATATCACTTTCACTTTTAAATGGTTTTGTTTGTTTTTGTCAGATAGGATTTTAGATGCTTATAATGCTAATCTTTATTCATCTATTTATAATGTTGTATGTAGGCTAGGGCATGTTCCCTTTCATCTCAGTGATTCAATCAATTTCTGTCTATATTATAGAATCATAGAATACATAACAGTAATTTGCTCTAAAAGAAATGAAAAGGGCCATTTGAGTTGAACAAATGGTTGGAATATAACGATTATACTTCAAATTTCAGACATTTGATTTCCTAAAGTTATCATGTTCTAACTGAGTATCCCTTTTTCCCTCTCCTCCTCTTCCTCCTCCCCTCCTCCTCTTCTTCCTCCTTATTGCAACATCACAGCGGTTAGTACATGTGCATGATATTATCTATCAAACAGCTTTAAGAAGATATTTTACCTTTTGCATCTTGTCTGTTCGCTCAAAATTCCAGCTGATATTCGTTGAAAAGACCCCTCTGTCGACAATTTGAGCGATCTCAACTATAGCAGACTATTTCAGTTTTAGTTTAGGCTACCCCTTTTTTCTTCACTTTCTGCCAATGAATAGGTGAGGGTCCTATTGGTCAGGAGTAGTGTCAGTGAAAGTTAAAACCGCCCGTTCTGGTGCTGGTTTACCCATGGGGCCGCTGGGCACAAGAGGTCCTTTAATAGGATCAGGAAGAGGTTTGAAAGCTAAACATGGCAGAGACATTCCAGGCCCATATTCACTAAGTCTCAGAGTAGTGCTGAGCTAGGATCAGTTTAGCCTTTTAGATCATAATTAATAATATTATGTGGAAAGTGGAGACCTGATCCTAGATCAGCACTCCTACTATGATAATTGTTTTGATACATAGGCCCTCGATTTGGAATGGACGATGGTCATGTCTATTTTATCAGACATTTTTTACAGTATGAAGGAAGTTTGGCCTGTTCAGAATTGTCTGGTATAGTTGAGATTGCTACAATTGCTCTCAGCAGTTAAATTGGCATTCTGATGTTTTAAAGGGGCAGTGGATCTATAAGGTGAAGTGATTATGATAGATTATGATTAATTGATTGATTGATTGACTGATTGGCCTATACCCCTGCATAGCCTACTGCCATGCAACATCAATCTGGAGTTGGCATTCAGCCAGTTAACCAGCTCCATAGTGATCCTTTAAACATCTCTCTGCAATTGTGAATAATATCAACTTAGATCTGTATGTGATGTTATGTGTTTGATATTTGCTGTAGTTATCTGCACGAGCATGTGGCTTAAAATATACATGTATGCATGCAATAATGTTTTATGACACTGGCAACTAATATGCTTTTTTGGCAAATAAGAGAGATGAGAAAAGCTGATATACAGTTGATATAGCCTACACGTTGAATGACATAAGAAATGTGGTGGGAAAGACTGAATAAATAAATCTTACATTTATTTATCTTCTTTTAGGGGGGACTCAAGGTGAGCAAACAAGTTCTTATGTGTCATTTACTAGTATAGAAAAGTGTGACATATCTTAACTTTGAGGCTCAGGCTAACTCAAAGATCAAAGATCAAATGTTGAGGCCTAGTCAGCATGCACTGTTGACTCATACAGTCAAGTTAATGTGTGGATATGCTTGTCCTTAAACCGTATGGTCAAGTTTGTTTATGTACACATTACGTACATATACGTACACATTATGACACATAGCAGACTACCTTCAAATGCTATAACTCTATTAACATTGATGCAATCATTAATTTGAGATTAGGGTCTATGACCTGCTTTGCTAGAGGCACTGATAAGCTTTTAAAACGTTTGTCTTGTATGTTTGTCTGATTGAGATATTTTCCCACCATAGGGCCCAAGAGGAGAGAAGGGGCCTCGAGGTAACAGGGTAAGCAAAGAAAACCCAGCTGTTTTGTATGAACTTTAAAAGGCTTTGCCATTTTCCTTGTTCAATAATTATTGTAATTTTCGTTTGCTGTATAGAGGTTGTATGTTAGGTGTCTCCGAGTCACTACGCTTGTTTAAATGCACATTTCTGAGAGGGCTACATGACATACTTTGACCCTGTGTGGCCACAACCCTTGTTGTCATGGCACAGAGGCCTACATCCTTGATATTGACAACAATATTATTCGATGTATTTTTACCCAGATATATTATAAACATATTAGCAATGACATATTATTTTAAATCAATTATACATCATTATGTAAATCATAATCATTTTGTAATAATTGTGCTTATGTAATATGTTTTCCCATTTGTCTATAGTGTACAGTAGAGCTCTTACAGTATGTCACAGGACAGTGCAACTTTGGGACAATCACACCAGAAAACAAAACAGAAATAGAAAGTCATCATAAACAACATCAACAACAACAGAGGATGAAAAACATTTCCAGCGGAATTACATTATAAATATGTATAGAATATAAAGTATCTTATCTTTAAAAATGTGTATTTCTCTGTCTCTGTCTCTGTCTCTGTCTCTGTCTCTGTCTCTGTCTCTGTCTCTGTCTCTGTCTCTGTCTCTGTCTCTGTCTCTGTCTCTGTCTCTGTCTCTGTCTCTCTCTCTCTCTCTCTCTCTCTGTCTGATAGGGTCCCCAAGGTCCTAATGGAAGAGATGGTAAACCTGGACTCCCCGGCGTTGCCGGCCCCCCTGGTCCCCCTGGACTTGGAGGAGTAAGTTCACCTATATAATTATTTTCACCACAAACATTTCCCTAATTTTCTCTAAATGACAGCTCTGTTACTCTGAAAATCTCCCTAATTTTTCCACTCTACAAATGTCTGACAGTTCTGTAACTCAGAAAATTACTGGCCTTAATTTTTCTCTCAGAAGATGGCAGACATTTTTCACCCAACAACACCCATCTGCTCTGGTGTGTTACCAGGTCACGGTGTGTTCCGGGGCATGGTGTGTTCCAGGGCATGGCACTTGGTTCCTCTTTCAAATCAGCCATATTAAAAGTGTTCAAAGTATGCCTTACTCACTAGGGATGGTTCAATTTGGATGGTCTTGACCCCATGACCTCATACCCTGATGACCTCATACCCTGTTGACCTTTGACCCTGTGGCCTATGACCATTTGACCCCACGATGACCCTGTGACACAGTAAAACATAAACATGGCTGCCAGTGTTGTTGTTACATAGTTACTACCATGTTATTAAACACAACATGGTGATTGTACGTTTATATTCTGTTTATATTCTGAGATTATTTAGTTTTAGACCAAAAATACATTTTCAATACTGAGACAATTTGTAAATATTGTTCAGTATGCTTCATCATGGTTGACACTAAGGACTACTACTCTCATGTCTCAAGACCCTCAACCGAACATCTGGGATTAACAAATGGAATTTATGACTACTATGCGATTATTATTTGTCACAATACATGTATATTATCATAATTACCTAAACATGGCTTTTATTAATTGTTCATTTATGTGCTAATGATTTGTGTCCCTTTTTTTCTTTTGCCAGAACTTTGCTGCTCAGTTTGATGGAGGAAAGGGCAGCGACCCCGGACCTGGACCAATGGTGAGGCCCCCAAACACAAGAGGGAGAGGGGGACCATGAATTTATCCCAAATGAAACCCTCGCCCCTAACCCCTTGGCCCTATCCCGTAGCCACCACCTACATGACACTAGCCCCTGGCTCTGTCCCTACTTAGCCCATAAACTTGGCACTAGTCCTTGCTTAGCCCCTGGCCCCTAGGCACTTGTGTGGATCTGATAAGATGGATGTAAGCAAGCAATGTCGTGAAAATTCCATCTGGCCTATGAGAGGGCAAGATAGAGTTATAACTGTAAGGCTTCTACCTATTCATAATCTTCTCAGTGCCTATGGGTCTATATTGGAATTCAGCCAGAAACAAAGTTGTGAAATAGATCATTGTAGATCATGCACTGTTACGACACTGATCATAACCTCTTCATCGTCCAGCATGGAGCAGCTGTCAGAATATTACACCAAACTCTGGACATGATAGGTGCACTGCAGTTATTACTTCATCTGTTGCTGTGACCCCTCTCTACTCTGTAGAGAGATACATGAAGATACATAGCTAAGTGTTTACCAATAGAATACCAATTCAGTACACATGAATGATTGTATTCTCTTCAAATTGTATTCCCCTTCATCCCAAATCATTGAAGGTTTCAATTCGGATAAGATCTCATACATTTCTCGGTTTTATAGGCATGCATTCTCCAATTTTATGAAAAACTTTTTGGGTTGCCATATTTCCAATTGCATTCCCCCCTACACTGATTTATATCTAAATTGGATGTGCACTTTCATTGAACAGTATTGAGATGATGTAGATGCTTTTGTTTGATCTGATTTGAATCTGATTTGTCTTTCTCTCCTCAGGGTTTAATGGGATCTAGAGGACCCAACGGACCTCCCGGATCCCCTGTAAGTAGTTCACTAATGGAAAATGTCAAATGACTCAATGTTGTGTCTTTCTCTCATATAAACTCAACACAAAGGCCAGGAGGTCTTCCTGACTAAGTGACCTGATCAGAAAAAAAGCCCACTGGCCGTAGTACAGCCCCTGTTTTCCCTGGTCAGATCACATGGTCAGGATGGAATAACTCCTGGTTCTCCTCATTACACCTAACTGATCACATTGTTTTATTTCATTGTCTCATTTGGACAAAATGACTCCCTGTCATGTCGTTTTCCCATCAACAGGGACCTCAAGGATTCACAGGACACGCAGGAGAGCCTGGAGAACCTGGACAGACTGTAAGAAAACTCTCTCATGGAAACTCTAACCTGAGCTGGCACACCTGATTCCATTAGTCAACTAATCATCAAGCCTTTGACTAATTAACACTACTACATACACAGAAAGGCAACCTAGAACTTAGAACCTGGAATTTAGAATTTGACTGTGACCTTAACCCTGAACCCTGACCTCTGACCTGTGACCTCTCTCTCTCATCCAAGGGCTCCGTTGGTCCTCGTGGACCCACTGGAGCCGCTGGCAAGCCCGGTGAGGATGTAAGTAAACAGTTAAAACCATCTGTGTTATTTTGGTCTAACATTTGAAATAATTAACTGTGGTACTACTTGCTTAATGGGGCGATAAGTGAATGTGGAAAATACTACAGACAAATGCTTTCATGATACAGTAGACAGTAGACACATCTAATGCAGCTTGTCTGTTCAATTGTAGGGTAACAACGGCAGACCTGGCAAGCCTGGTGACAGAGGTGGCCCCGGAACTCAGGTAAGGGCCATGTCCAGAGCTGACAGATTTCTTAACTAAATATACATTTTACACTAAATATGCATGAACCCACTAAGTGTTATCATGTAAAACATGCAGACACAGATACACACACACACTGTTTTTCTAACCTCTTCTCTCGCTCCTCTGTAGGGTGCTCGTGGATTCCCTGGAACTCCTGGACTTCCTGGAATGAAGGGACACAGAGTGAGTATTGACATAAATACCTGCCTGGCCATGCCACTCCTAATGTCCTCCCAACGCCTTCAGGAGGGTGCAATGCTCTGAAGGTTACAGATAGAGGTGACTTATATAGAGCTGGCATGATTCCCTATTCCACATGCCAGAGAAGCATGTATGTTCTATGTAATACATTTCTATCTGGATGTTCTGTAACGTTGCACCCCAACGGAATGTGACCCTGTCATGTTCTGGAAAGATGTATCTCGTGGTATCTCACATCCCACATATCTCCTCCTGCTTCCTCTTGCACACATATCCCTCATTTCAAATGACACCCTATTCCCTATTTACAACACTACTTCTGACCTATGTGGCTTTGGTCAAGTGCACTATGAAGGGAATAGCATGTAATATGAAGGTAAAACTGTGGTGATTATGGGAAATTAGGAGGAGTTGTATCCCATGAAACTGAGCGAAAATGCATCCCATATCATATAGAATGCAAGAAGCAGACATCTCTAGATAATGCTCAAATAAAAAATTCCCTCACCAGATAATCAATATGATCTGAATGATAAGGGAAAAAAATATCATTTGATATAAATGTTGTAGTTTTAATTGATTTTAGACTATAATAATTGTGTATTGTCTCAGGATGCTAACCTGTTCTCATTGTGCTCCAGGGTTACAATGGTCTGGATGGACGCAAGGGAGAGCCTGGTACCGCTGGTGCTAAGGTAACATTGCAGCTACATCTTCCTCAATCACAATTTATTCTCTTACCGCTGGCAAATCTAACAGATTTCACAAGAGGCCTAATACAGGGGTGTAACAGAGATTTAGCTTTCATCTTTGTGGGCTGGTTTCCCAGACACAGATTAGGCCTAGTCCTGGACTGAAAAACACTTTGAATGGAGAGATCCATTGTGCAAGCTTTTTACTCCACGTATAGGATTAATCTGGGTCCAGAAAACAGGCCCTGTAACACCTAAATGTAAAGTGAGTTTCACATACAGTAGCACATTTTAGTGCACATTTAGTCGCAATCACTCTACATTGATAGCAGTTACTCAAATGTCAGTGTTTGTTTTACCACTAACATACGTAGTACTACATATTTTTTCTAAATCTCAGAGAATACATTTTTTATGACACTCATGCTTATCAATCTAGATATGTCCCAGTGTTCAAACTCATCATAACTTTCTACCTCCCATGAGTGCCTGTCATCTGAATATGTGTTCTTCTGCTTCTCCCATAGGGTGAGACTGGTGCCCATGGAGCTAACGGAACACCCGGAGCAGCTGTGAGTTCACACATTACTTCACCCTTGTCTTTTACCTCATATTGGGAAGTGTCAACGACAGCATGTTGTCAGGTGCCAGGCAAGGCATATGCGCATGTATCACTAATGAAACATAAAGTCTGAATGTTCCTCACGTTGATTCTTTACCATTTGTCACATTCAAAATACATTGCATTCACATAGCTGAGATGAGGACATACATTTTTTGTACAACCAGTAATAGATTATATACAACACATACTCACTACATACACACACTTGACAAAATCCCAGTGCACTTGTCCTATACTCTCTCTCTCTCTCTCTCTCTCTCTCTCTCTCTCTCTCTCTCTCTCTCTCTCTCTCTCTCTCTCTCTCTCTCTCTCTCTCTCTCTCTCTCTCTCTCAATCTCTCAATCTCTCTCCCTCTCTCTCTTCCCCACCCCAGGGTTCTCGTGGTCTGAATGGTGAGAGAGGGCGTGCCGGCCCTGCTGGACCAGCTGGTGCCCGTGGTGCTGATGGAAGCTCTGGACCCGCCGGCCCTGCTGTGAGTCCGGCTCCCCCTTTGACCCAATAACCTCTGATCCCTTAACCTAATGGATCACATACATCTGACCCCTCTGTAGTGTAATATAATGATAGAAGTCACTGTACCTTTAGGCCCAGATCTGATCTAGGATCAGCGTATCCCTCCCCTAATCCTAACCTAAATCATTAAAGGTGGAAATGCTAAAACTGAAATTAGATCGTCCGCTTCTAGGGGTAGCTTCATCTAACAACCCTTTACTGTAACCCTTGACCTCTATTTCACTATGTCCTCTCTCTATTTCCTGTTTCCCAGGGTCCTCTTGGAGCAGCTGGCCCCCCTGGTTTCCCTGGTGCCCCTGGCCCCAAGGTGAGTGTGATGTCATCATGGTCATCTCCAGAGCATTTCTTCATGATCACAATCCTTAGTATATCATCCTTGGAATATCACCGGTAGAATGTCATCTGTAGAATATCATCTGTAGAATGTCATGGACATTATTAGTGTGGACACCAAGGAAGATTCCCAGATTCCCAGTTCTGGGAACTGTAGAGGCACATCTAAGGAGCTTTCTCCACACCCAAAACATCATGACTCTCTAATTGGTTATCACTATCCGATAATCTGATTGGTTTACTGTCTAAAGGGACCAATCACATTGACCAAACAAATGATTCCATACATAGTATTCCCATGAAGATCTATATACCATAAAACATCTATATAACATCTATATAGCATCATAAAACAGCCCACTACCCATCTGACTGGATAGTGTGACTCAGACAGCATGTTCCTGTTCTGTAACAGGGAGAGATTGGAGCTGCTGGATCCACTGGCCCATCCGGACCTCAGGGAGGCAGAGGAGAGCCCGGTATCAATGGAGCCGTTGGCCCTGTCGGTCCCAATGTAAGTAGACACAGATACCAACAAACCACAACATTCTCACAGTGTGAAACATGTCGCATTGAAGGCTCTCTCTTGTTTTCTGGTTATCTTTTCCTGATGTACTGTATGTACCGTCATTATTTTGCATCATGCATCATGGTTTCTTGTTGCCTTGGCACCTCTACACACTTGTTTGTAACACACTCTTTCATTTTCCTCTCCTTGTAGGGTAACCCTGGTAACAACGGTATCAACGGCGCCAAGGGAGCTGCTGTAAGTATTCTGGCCATAGTTGCATTGTGGGTAGACTAGATTGACAGCTCAAAGGTTATTTAGGGCCAGACAAATGTCAAGATGTAAAATCTTTTCACTTGATCCTTGAACTTGTGTAGGTATGATATGAGTTATGAATGTAGCACAACAGCAAATAGCACTCAAATAGCATCAACAATGAATCACTTTAGCTTTAGAATTCATGATATACAGAACTTAATTCAGTTGTTCCCACATTACATACATGTGATATTAGCCATAAATAACTGTTGTAGTGAAACCACTGGATATTGGGTAATGTGATAAGGTAATGTTATGGTAAAATTTATGCAGTAGGTGCTTCAGCTGTCTCCTCACTCACCATTTCTTCCATCCTGTGTGTGTGTGTGTTCTAGGGTCTCCCCGGTGTTGCTGGAGCCCCTGGTTTCCCAGGCGCAAGAGGAGGTCCCGGCCCCCAGGGCCCCCAAGGATCCACTGGCGCTAGAGGCCTTGGTGTGAGTACCGCTGGACCTAAAAACCAATGCAACAACACAACTTTATTCACAGAACATTTACTTTATTCACACAATCTGTATGAATATTGAGGTATTGATCATGTATCTGTGTCTCTTTGACTGCAGGGTGACCCTGGACCCTCTGGACAAAAGGGAGATTCTGGTGCTAAGGGAGAGCCTGTAAGTATCCATGCTACTGCTGTTTAGCAGTATAGTTGTGCTGTATCATTATGCCAGTACATGGTGTGTGTTTGTGTCAGTCTCTAATGTCTCTGGTTTCTCCTTCAGGGTCACTCTGGTGTCCAGGGTGCCGCTGGTCCCGCTGGTGAGGAGGGCAAGAGAGGCTCAACTGGCGAGGCTGGTGCAACCGGGCCCGCTGGTCTGCGTGGAGCAAGAGTGAGTATATCATACCAGACCCAGTCTGGGGGTATATTTCTTGGTGTGTTTTGCTATAAGGTGCAGATGAGTGGTTATGGTTGAATCATGTCTCTGTGTGTTTGTCTCATAGGGAGGTGCTGGAACTCGTGGTCTGCCTGGTCTGGAGGGAAGAGGTGGTCCCATTGTAAGTCACCAAAAATATGATTTACCATGACGATTGTTCATAGGCAGAAAGAAAATAGTGACTTTTACCTTGTAAGATAGTGACTGTTCTGTACTCATGGCTTGCTCTTCCTTCCTCCTCTCTCTGCCAGGGTATGCCCGGTGCTCGTGGAGCCACCGGCCCTGGTGGTATCCGTGGACCCCCTGGTGATGCCGGTCGTGCTGGCGAGTCTGGTCTGACTGGAGCCAGAGTAAGTGTCACACGCACCTGTCAATCAAAATATTTTAATCAGATGTGTAATGGATTCTCTGATTGTCTAGTCTCTGAACCAAATATAGCATGTGTTCTCTAGCTGTGATGCTGAATGACTAACACGTTCTGTCTGTTTATAGGGCCTCCCCGGAAACTCTGGACAGGGTGGACCCCAAGGCAAAGAAGGCGCAGCTGTAAGTGATGAAACACATCATCTCCAATATTGATCCTTTCAAACGCTCTACATCATAAAAAATAGTATACAATAAAACTGGTGGCCATCATAATGGATTGGTTCAAAGCGCTTCCATTGTGTTGGTAGTACGGTTACATTAACCCATCCCATCCACCACCAATGTTAACACCCACCTGGTGGTGTTGTGCCATATCTGATCCCCATTGTGTTGTGTGTGTCCTCTTCCAGGGTGCTGCTGGTCTGGATGGCCGCACTGGTCCCCCCGGCCCAACTGGACCAAGAGGCCAGCCCGGTAACATCGGATTCCCCGGCCCCAAGGGACCTGGAGTAAGTAGAAACAGGAAGTAGAACCAGGAAGTAAAACCAGGAAGGAGATCTGCTAGAGGATGACCTGATAGCATGAGATTGGACCGTGAGAGAGACAGCTGGGGTCTTGTTGCAATTTGCTATGGACAGATTATGATCAAAAGAGTAAAAAGGAAGTGATATTGAAGGATCAAATATGGACAGAATGTGATTTTATCTTGATGATGGTCTGTCCATCAACATGAAATTATGATCATCTGACGTTTCCATGGTCTCTTCTTCCTTCTCTCCCTCCAGGGTGAGGCTGGCAAGGGTGGTGATAAGGGACCTACTGGTGCAACTGGTCTGAGAGTAAGTACCCCCGCATCAGACAACATTCATTACATGATCAACTCTCTACTGTTAAAGGAAATTAATTTACTATTATGGTAGATATCTCTCCAATTGGCAGTTGGTAAAGCTGAGTATCCTGAATCTGTGACCTCGTATGACTGACAGGACAGAGCCAAACAGTCAAAACAAATGTATTAATTACTCTAGACGTATAGTCATTCATTACAATAGAGTTGTGTTTCCTCAAATCATGAGTTCCAGGATAAACTCGGACAGAACTATCATGGATCGTTGATCATTCACCTACCTCTCTCTCCCTGTCTCTGCTTAGGGCAGCCCCGGTGCCGATGGCAACAATGGAGCCACCGGCCCGGCTGGAGTTGTTGTAAGTAGTCTACCCTATTTCCTTTAAATACACACATGTAATAACTAGAATCTTATCTTACAGTGAACTGTATTTGATTTGATTGAACTTGATGCTCTCCTCTTCTACAGGGAAACACTGGTGAGAAGGGAGAGCAGGGACCCTCTGGTGCTCCTGGTTTCCAGGGTCTGCCCGGCCCCGCTGGACCTGCTGGTGAGGCTGGCAAAGCTGGCAACCATGTGAGTAACCAAACCTTAAACCTTTGACCTGTAACACAAACCCAGTGTACATCCACAAACCTAGAACCTTGACCTGTAACACAAACCCAGTGTACATCCACAAACCTTGACCTGTAACACAAACCCAGTGTACATCCACAAACCTAGAACCTTGACCTGTAACACAAACCCAGTGTACATCCACAAACCTAGAACCTTGACCTGTAACACAAACCCATTGTACATCCACAAACCTAGAACCTTGACCTGTAACACAAACCCAGTGTACATCCACAAACCTAGAACCTTGACCTGTAACACAAACCCAGTGTACATACACAAACCTAGAACCTTGACCTGTAACACAAACCCAGTGTACATCCACAAACCTAGAACCTTGACCTGTAACACAAACCCAGTGTACATACACAAACCTAGAACCTTGACCTGTAACACAAACCCAGTGTACATCCACAAACCTAGAACAAACCTACATCCGCAAAGCCATAACAAACCAACATTTTCCCAAAAACACTAACTGCAAAATATATTTTTGTTCATAGAAATGTTACCTCTTACTGTTCATTTCAGTATATTTTATTTTAATAGTATTCTCACTATGTAATATTTTGCACTAACAAAGTATTGCTTTGTAATATTTTGCACTAACAAAGCATTAATCTCTCAACAGGGTATGCCTGGAGACCAGGGACTCCCAGGACCCGCTGGTGTCAAGGTATGTCCACTCACGAATCCCTCTCACAGAACATTAAGTATGATCTTCTGACAGCTGGTCAACCATACACATGTTGCTGTTCACCCATTTACCTGTACTCTTAAGTAGGACGAAGGCCCTATATAGGCCTTAACTAGACCCTATCTTTATATACATCTCACATCCACACACCTGTAATGTATACATACTGTGGTGTGCCCATGACAGAGCCCTGGTGCTGACAGTCACCCTCTCTCTCTATCTGTTCCTAGGGAGAGCGTGGAAACCCCGGTCCTGCTGGCTCTGCCGGATCTCAGGGAGCCATTGGTGCTCGTGGACCCGCTGGAACTCCTGGCCCCGATGGTGGCAAGGTGAGCACAGCTCTATGAAGGGCTTTGAACCATATTATCGTTATAAACAAGGCCCAGAGTTTTTCCTGGTCACCTGGTCAGGTCATGTGGTCTGGAAATCCTCCTGGCCCTACAGTAGGTATAACCAAAATATATGAGCGATAGATCTGATAGTACTGGTGTATTCTGTATGAGAAATACACCACTGTTCATTTAAGCACTGTAATCAGATGAAGCTCTTAACCACTCATGGGCTTGCTCCATGAGTTGGATAGCTTATAGGTGGAACCATTCTTCACCAATGTCTCTGTTTCAGGGAGAGCCTGGTTCTGTCGGCATTGCTGGTGCCGCCGGACACCAAGGACCCGGTGGTATGCCCGGTGAGCGCGGTGCCAGTGGTACTTCTGGACCCAAGGGTGAGAAGGTAAGTCCCCCCAGAATATGCCGCCTGTAAACATATAAAAAAGTTCAATTTCACAAGAAAAACTGAAATCATGTGAAAGTTGCATAAACACTGTAATTGATGTCAGTGATCATTTCTGATATGCTGATGTGAAATGCAGTGCTTGGTAAAGTTGTCCTACAGTACAAACATTGGGAGAATGTGAAATACTGATAGATTTGATCAGATAGACCTAGACTAAAAACAACTGTATATAATGGCTATTTTAAATGAGTGACTGTAACATGTATTTTTCCCCTTTCCAATCTAGGGTGAGGGTGGACACAGAGGACTTGAGGGTAACATGGGAAGAGATGGCGCCCGTGTAAGTTCCTCTCCCATCTCATTTGGTCACTTTCACAGTGAAAACAACATCCAATGAATTGTTATTCTGTCTCTATTGTGATTTAGTCTGACTTTGTGCCTTGTGTCTCATTCTAGGGTGCCCCCGGACCAAGTGGACCCCCTGGACCTTCCGGTGCTAATGGTGAAAAGGTAAACAGCCTGAATATCGGCTCCCTTGGCCTCAACACATGAAAGGATATCTAAGGATTAAGGAAATACGTTGGTTCAGATGATGAGAAATATTGTGGGGCTCACTTAGGGAACATTTGTCAACGATTATGCATATCCAAGAAATCCAAGATGGAGTAGGCCTAATGTTCATTGACCTACAGAGGAGCAATGACGTCAATGGCCATTTCAAGACTCTTTGGCTCTCCACAAGTGATCAAGATCTGGACTGGACCATATTGTTGAGTGTGGTCATTCTTAATATTTGGACAACAACAAATGCCTGTCTACTCCAGACCAGAGAGAAGGACTATGAGCACACCACCTGCCACAGCTTGTGAAGCTAGAATCTCAACCTCCCCATCTGCTGGGCAGTTTGCAGATGCACACTGCCGAAGTCACAACAGCTGATGTCATCTCCAAAGGATGAAAACCAGGGTCATGTTCAGGAGGGTACACCATAGCACCCATATTCTTTATACATTTTGCATCGGAAAACAGAAAGTAGCTTTTCTAATTGGACAAGCACCACCCTGTTTCAAAACGTTTTCTCCAAACGCTGTGTCTACTGGACATGAACCTGGCAGAAACCACACTGCCTGGACACCTGCTCCATTATATTCCATCACACTTCAAACTCATCTACCAGCATATGGCAGTTGATGATGGTAGTCATAGTAATAACTATTTTGCCTTTTTTTGGAAACAAATAGTCAATACGCTTCAACTTAAATACTGGACATCCTGTGGAACTTGAAGGGCTAGGGTTGACTGATCAAAGTTATGCAGACTGGATTGATATTTTGGATTGATTCAGCCCACACATTCTCATCTTTGCTCTCTTTTAGGGTGAGTCTGGCTCCTTCGGCCCTGCCGGACCTGCTGGTCTTCGTGGACCCAATGTAAGTACCTACAATAACACATATAACGCATCTATAAGACATACAACACATTATAACACATTATAACATGTCTACTCATCACCCCTCATCAAAGGAATGAAGGACTAACATTATCTAGTTTTCAAAATGTCAATATAGTAGTTATGTCAGTCAACACTATCATGTTGTTAGGTTCTAAACAAACAGAGTAAAAACTCAAACGGACGACTAGAAAAAGCCACACAAGCATATATTCATACCTTCTGACTAGGTGGAGTCACCTCCTAGTATGTCTAAGATAAACAATCTGTCTCTGTTGCTAGGCAGGAACTCAGCCTGTTCCTCTTACTGGTGTTGTCATGGCCCTGCATGAGTCTAGAATCTTCATAGGCGTGGAAGTGTGTGTGTGTGTGTGTGTGTGAGAGATAGGACTGTAGTTAGGTGGTCTTCGGGGTGGGCCCATTTGGCCCCCCCTCCCAGAGGTTTCTTCTCTCTTCAGCTGTTGACCTTATCTCAAGTTGAGTTCCACATCCCTCCTTGTCCTAGTTCTACAGCAACTGGTCTGCCTTATCAGGAACTGAGACTAGACTGTTGCTCTTTACCTCCTTCTGTAGAAATATTCATATTCAGCAATAACATGTTTGAACAGACAGAAATGTCCTGTACTGCTCCTTGTCTCACACAGTAACTTTCCGTACACAGAGTTTCTATTCACCCTTCATTGACTCCAACATATACATTTCTTATAGATGTAAAGTAATCAATAAGTTCTTATATGGTGACAGGAATAAGTCTATTTTAAGATAGAATCCAACAATGTCATGTTATATCAGTGGTTAGTTGATGCTTGATTATCTGTCTGGTTGGATGGTTGGGTGGATGTGTGAAAATGTATGCACTCACTAACTGTAAGTCGCTCTGGATAAGAGCGTCTGCTAAATGACTAAAATGTAAAATGTAAATGTGTATATCTCTACTCTACATGGAGGGGCTCCTCTGACCATTTGTCCCTGTGTTCCTGCTCTGATTTAGGGAGAGCGTGGAGAGGGTGGACCTGCTGGACCTCCCGGCTTCGCCGGACCCCCTGTAAGTACTCATTCGGTTGATACCCTGAAACCCCACACTAACACGTCACATACATGTATGCATCAAAATATAGTGATGTTCTTTAACATGGAGACATATACACACAAACTTACTCATTCACTGACCGATGCATGGAAACACACACACAAACTAATTCACTGACTGACAGACTCATACATACAGACCTTTACACACATACACACACAAACAAACACACTACCTTGTGTTTCTGCAGCCTTTGTTCTGTGGGTTCTGTTCTGACCTGTGTGTGTGCATCCCATGCAGGGTTCTGATGGTCAGACTGGCCCTAGAGGAGACAAGGGACCCGCTGGTGGAAAGGGAGACGTCGGCCCCGCCGGCCCTGCTGGACCTGCTGGCCAATCTGGACCTTCTGTAAGTCACTTACTTAGTTGGTTCTCTTAATTCCAATGTGCAACATAAGGCACATTCTTACCACCTACTTCAATGGGAATCCACTGAATAATTCACACAGAGAGTTATGTGCAGTACATGGTCCTGTATGGTTCAGGTGGTAGAGAATGGTGCTTGTAACGCCAGGGTTGTGGGTTTGATACCCGGGGCCACCCATATGTAAAATGTATGCAGGCATGACTAAGTCGCTTTGGATAAAAGCGTCTGCTAAATGGCATATATTACATGATGTACATCCTCACTGGGAATTAAATCCTCTACTTGTGAAGATGATAATGTAGACTTTTCTTGTCTTCCTTCCTGTGCTTGTCTAGGGTGCTAGCGGACCCGCTGGCCCTCCTGGTGGTCGTGGTGATGCTGGACCTTCTGTAAGTACTGTCACTGATATCACACACACACAACGACACCCCATCTCTCTGTGTCCCAGTGACCTTGGCTGCTTTCTAACCTTTGACCTTTGTGTGTGTTCTTTCTCTTCAGGGTCTGACCGGTTTCCCTGGTGCTGCCGGTAGAGTTGGAGGCCCCGGTCCCGCTGTAAGTGTGGCAGTAGTGTTAACGTACACTACAACACACACACAAACACACTGAGGTGCCATTTTGTACAGATGTAGGATTTTAATTTGATTACCCTGTTGCAGGATAACTTTTACACATTTAAAACGTGTAGTGTGTTTGAGGTTTAAAAAGGCTTCTTAAGTTTGTAATTTACACTTTGAAATGTACACTTTACACAAAAATGTCCATTCATAAAAATCCACATAATAATTCACATTTCCTGTTGCTGCAGGATTATTTTCCTGCTGTAGCAAATTGGCTCGAATTAAGATCCTACATCTGTACTTAGAAGCAATATAATGCTGGCTAGACATCATGTAGTTATTCAAACCACCTTGTGTTCATATTTCACTCCTGTCAGTCTCTTATCAGAGATAACAACATCCTGGCTGATACTGAACAAACATACCCAAATACACAGACACACCTCCCACTTTTTATCCTCAATAACCACCTGTCCCTTCCTCTTCCCTACGCACAGGGTATTGCTGGGCCCCCTGGCTCCGCCGGTCCCGCTGGCAAGGATGGCCCTCGTGGTCTCCGTGGTGATCCTGGCCCCCCTGGATCTCAGGGAGAGCAGGGACATGTTGGACCCGCTGGTATCGCTGGAGACAAGGGATCCAGTGGCGAGAGCGGTCCTCCCGTAAGTCATCATAACTCCGATTGAGGCCTCTCAGTAAGCTTCTTCTCAATAAATATTTATGCTTTGGCTTTCACTAGCCTGGTCCCAGATCTGTTTGTGCTGTTTTGCCATAGGACCATAGGAGCTGGCAAAAGAGCACAGCACAGAACCAATCTGGGACCAGGCTAGCTTTTCATTAGGTGTCAAAGAGTTTTACATTGTTTGGGGTGCGTAACAAAACACCCCCATTCACCACTAATGGCGATGGGGGAAAAGTGATTGTGTTTCTTTCTCTGTCCTCTGCTTTTCTCCACTCTCAAATCCTGATCTCCTGTCCCTGTTCAGGGTGCTCCTGGTACCCCTGGACCTCAAGGTGTGCTCGGATCCTCTGGCTTCGTTGGTCTGCCTGGTTCCCGTGGTGACAAGGGTCTTCCTGGCGGTCCTGGTGCTGTGGTGAGAACATCACACCTTCTGTTATTTCAAAACATTATTCAAACTGCCCTAGCAGACACATCCGACCACAGAACAAATAAAAAAGCTGAGAAAAAATAGCTATTTGTCATATTATATGGAAATGATGTTGATCAAATGGGCCAAATCACAGTTCTTGAAAATGATAGGCTATTCCAGACAAGTGGAGCCCAGACAACTATATTTGTTTGCGCTGCAATCCATTGATGAGTTATGGATACAGTACATAGTTGCTTACTATGGTATGTGTTTGTACTGTGTTGACCCTGTGATACTCTGTGCCATTCAGGGTGAGCCTGGTAGACTTGGACCTGCTGGTGCCTCTGGACCCCGTGGTCCCGCTGGTAACATTGGCATGCCCGGCATGACTGGTACTCAGGGAGAAGCTGGACGTGAGGTAAGGATTGATTGATTGATGTGTTAAACAAGTACTCAGAGCCTGTATTCTAGACACATGGCCCAATTTCTACATTTCAGTTCACCCACAGTTCCCATGGCAACACAATTAACATGCTATTGTGTCACCCCACAGGGTAGCCCTGGCAACGATGGACCTCCCGGCCGTCCCGGAGCTGCTGGCTTCAAGGTACAGTCCTCTCTGTCAATTATGCTGTAGGGGGAAGTTGCCCCTAGACGCTGATCTGGGGTCAGTTTAGCATTTCCCCCACGAATGGTTAAGGTTACAATTGGTGGATGGGAAGCTGATCCTAGACCTTTACCTAGGGGAAACTTCACCCTGGAGCGTAGTTTATACCTCACAGTACTGACGACACCATTCACCTGAGCTGAATTCAGGTCTAAAATGGAAACCAATGGGGATAAATCCATCTTGTAGTGGAGTGGAAATGTTCCACTTGGCTTCCATTTTACAGGCTTCATCTCAGGAACATATTATATTCATTTGAACTGACCTTCATATCAGTTGAAACTATAATGTCTTGAACTTTCAACTTTGAACCTTGAACTTTGCCCCCTCACAGGGTGACCGTGGTGAGCCTGGTTCTCCTGGAGCCCTTGGAAGCTCTGGTCAACCTGGACCCAACGGACCCTCCGGCGCCGCTGGCAGACCTGGAAACCGTGGCGAGTCTGTAAGTGCCCCCCCCCCTTCCCAAATTGGACCCCCTGAACAGGGGTGACGAAGGGCACGTTTTACCTGGTTTCTAGAAGGAGGACGGTAGAGTCCACGTTAGCAATGGCATGGTTACAGTATTTCCCCTAGCTTTCCCATGGGAGGCTCCTACTTCATATACCCATATAACCCCTGTAACTATTCCCCAGGTCGTAGCTGTAAATGTAAATGAGAATGTGTTCTCAGCAACTTACCTGGTAAAATAAGGATGGAATAAATACTACAATACTTATAGAAAAAAAGCATTCACATGAAACAGAAACATAACTTCTACTCTACACAGAATAATGGTTCCTGTGGTTCTATCTCTTGCGTGATGATGTGTATATATCTTCTCCCTCTCTGCCTCTCTAGGGCCCCACTGGAAATGGTGGTCCCGTCGGTGCTGCTGGTGCACGTGGTGCCCCCGTGAGTACCCTATCTAACCTCATCTTGACTCGGACTGCTGAATTAAAACTCCACTAATCATTTCAACTATCATAATGCATCGCCGTAGCCTAGTTGTGCCTATACTGTAGGTCTATATGTGAAATAACGCACCTCTGTAATGGTTCTGTGTCTCCTTGTGTTGTAGGGCCCCGCTGGTCCCCGTGGAGAGAAGGGTGTGGCTGGAGAGAAGGGAGACAGAGGCATGAAGGGTCTACGTGGACATGGTGGTCTCCAGGGAATGCCCGGACCTAACGTAAGTCATGATGACTGCTGTGACCAACACTGCTCTGACCATCCATCAAGATCCATCAAGATCCATTCAATATGATCTAATCTCATATCCTGAAATATCCCATCCCATATACCCAAGTTTGTATTAGCTTCCCCAATTCATTTATAGACGCCTTATAGCCACTTCACGTAAATATCAGAATAATTTACAGTATGACAATGTTCTTATGCTGTAGCTACTCCTGAGCTAACCATATCTCTCCCCTTCAGGGACCAACTTTAGCTTCCCCTGAGCTCTCCTGTCTAACCATATCTCTCCCCTTCAGGGACCAACTTTAGCTTCCCCTGAGCTCTCCTGTCTAACCATATCTCTCCCCTTCAGGGACCAACTTTAGCTTCCCCTGAGCTCTCCTGTCTAACCATATCTCTCCCCTTCAGGGACCAACTTTAGCTTCCCCTGAGCTCTCCTGTCTAACCATATCTCTCCCCTTCAGGGACCAACTTTAGCTTCCCCTGAGCTCTCCTGTCTAACCATATCTCTCCCCTTCAGGGACCAACTTTAGCTTCCCCTGAGCTCTCCTGTCTAACCATATCTCTCCCCTACAGGGACCATCTGGTGAGACTGGCTCTGCTGGTATCTCTGGACCTGCTGGACCCAGAGTAAGTAACTATTACTATCCACATCAAACGCTCCCTCCATTGTATCTTCCTCTAACTAGACAGATAAATGTATTTGACACCTGTCCTTGTCCTATCCCTCTCCTTGTCTCTAGGGTCCCGCCGGACCCCATGGTCCCCCTGGTAAGGATGGTAGAGCTGGAGGTCATGGTGCTATCGGACCTGTTGGACACCGTGGTCCCCCTGGACATCTTGGACCCGCTGTGAGTATATCTAGTACTCACATACCCGCCTCAATCAGTCAGTCAGCCAGTCAGTCAGTCAGTGAGGCAGCCACTCAGTCAGCCAGTCAGGTAGCCAGTCAGTCAGTCAGTCAGGCAGCCACTCAGTCAGTCAGCCAGTCAGTCAGTCAGCCAAATGCCACAGTATTGGTGACAAAGGGGGCTGATTGTTTAAGGTGTGAAGGCAGACACTAGCAACACATAATGGATCTAAGTTGACATATCATTTGCTTAAAAAGAACTTCACTGATACAAGTTAAACCTTTAGCATGAGAAAGTGTGAATGAGATGCTTCTCTACAGCAGCAGCAGCAGTGACCCACCTTACTAAGTTTGAGGTTGTTAACTCTCTTCTCTCGCCCACAGGGTCCCCCCGGCTCTCCTGGTCTTCCCGGACCCGCAGGTCCCGCTGGTGGCGGATACGACCAGTCTGGTGGTTACGATGAGTACAGAGCCGACCAGCCCTCTCTCAGGGCCAAGGACTATGAGGTGGACGCCACCATCAAGTCCCTGAACTCCCAGATCGAGAACCTGCTCACCCCCGAGGGCTCCAAGAAGAACCCCGCCCGTACCTGCAGAGACATCAGACTCAGCCACCCCGAATGGAGCAGCGGTTAGTTGGTGGCACAGAAACATCTCTGTCTCTCTTTATTGATTGGTTTCAGGTCACTGAGGTGCCTTAGAACCCTTACACTCTCTTAGAAAACTCTTAACCACTAAAATCTCTAGTTCATTCTAGTCTCAACACAGACTAACTGTAACTTTCCATCTCTTTATCTATTGCCCTACATTTCACTATCAATACACTCATTGAGCGATCAACCCCATACAATAGACAGTATTATGTTGAATAGTAATAATAACCTGAAACTCAAAACGTAAACAACACCTAAACACAGCAAAACCCCAGTGAAGTATTAATAATAGTGATAACAACATTATCAGTTCTAATCAATGTCATTCTTTCTTGTCCTCCCCTGCAGGTTTCTACTGGATCGACCCTAACCAGGGCTGCATCGCTGACGCCATCAAGGCCTACTGCGACTTCTCCACCGGACACACCTGCATCCACCCTCACCCCGAGAGCATCGCCCGCAAAAACTGGTACAGGAGCTCTGAGAACAAGAAGCATGTCTGGTTTGGAGAGACCATCAACGGTGGAACTGAGGTGAGCAGACTTAAACTGTACTGATTCTAATGACAAGAGCGGACAGTTTGAACATCTTAGAGGAAGATATATTGATTTGATTGGCACACCAGTTTGATTCTAGGCATATTTTAGTAGTATAGTATAGGCCCATGTTATTGGCTTACATTCATCTCAAGCACCCTAAACCTGAATGTATTGGTTCCATTTGAAAGAGATCATCAGATATCTATCTATCCAATTCTTCACCAAGGTTTTTCTCTAAATGCTTGAGACTGCATCTTGACACTGATCCTGTCTTAATTCCTCCTATGTTGTTTCACAGTTTGCTTACAACGACGAGACCCTGAGCCCTCAGAGCATGGCCACTCAGCTGGCCTTCATGCGTCTCCTGGCCAACCAGGCCACCCAGAACATCACGTACCACTGCAAGAACAGCGTGGCGTACATGGACGGAGAGAACGGCAACCTGAAGAAGGCTGTGCTCCTGCAGGGTTCCAACGACGTGGAGCTGAGGGCCGAGGGCAACAGCCGCTTCACTTTCAACGTTCTGGAGGATGGCTGCACTGTAAGTCCCCTTTTTATTTACACCGCAATGTCTGGAACAATAGCTTTGTTCGTTCTCTCTCTGTGTTCACTCCCACAAGTAGATGCAGTGCATGGTGGAAGGGTGAACTCAGGCTCAGGGAAGTTTTCTGTAACTTCCTGGTTAGTGAAAGAGTTTGGGAACCTGACTCTTTATTTAAAGTATCATAGGCTACTACTGTAGGGTATTATTGTACGTTTTCAAGATATGATATACTGAGTGCACTATTCTGATACATGGTTTCTCCTTTTGTCCTACCTCTGCAGAGACACACTGGCCAGTGGAGCAAGACAGTCATTGAATACAGAACAAATAAACCATCTCGCCTGCCCATCCTCGACATTGCACCTTTGGACATTGGTGGAGCTGATCAAGAGTTTGGTTTGGACATTGGCCCAGTCTGTTTCAAATAAATAGACTCATGATCAATTAAAAAAAGAGAGAAAGAAAGAAAAAAAGAGAACATCTCTGCCCTTCTTTGTGTGGTTTTTTTTTATACTGAATGCTCATTTCCTCTGCGCATCCACTTGCTTAAGCTGGGCTCTATCGGAGAGGACCAATGGACTGAACGGAGCGTTGTGCAATGCAAATTAATACAGCAGCCCAAAGAGACGCGGGAAAACACCATGTTGTGGGACATGTCATCATTTTGTAAAAAATCTAATAAGTGTAATAAAAACGCTGAAAGTATGCATCACTTTGTGGTCTTTGTATATCTTCCAAAGAGGAGGTTTAAAACCACAATTTTTTTTTTTTATAAAAAAAAAAAGAAGGTTGAAGCTACCTCATGCCTGTGTTTTAGAAAATACTATTGAGAACCTGTCTGATCCACAACGTAGATGTTACGAGTTCTAAGGCTTCAAGATCTGTCCTGTATCAAAGGTGCTGAATTACTTGAAGCAGAGATCTATGGTGCTAAACATGCAGCTGTGGAAGAGCAGGAAACCACTCTCATTCTCACTGTGTTACTTTGTATTGACTTTGACGAGTCTTGCACAGGTCCCCTTGATAAACCCCATTTTAAGCAGGTGGAATTTTCCTAAATCTGGTCTGATGTTTGTCTGGTTTTGACTTTGTTTTTTTAAATAATTTTGTTTGGTCTAGAAGTTTTGTTTTATTTTTGTTCAGACATTTTACTCCTTCAATTCCCCCCATTAATGCAGTGTTCATGCTGACAGCACATTATTTCATCCATTTTTAATGGATTTTAGGCAGCCTCTCTCTCTCTCAAACGAAACCACAAAGTTTATTGTACCTATTTTGTATATGTGAGATGTTTAAATAAATTGTGAAAGTTCTGAAATAAAGCATGTCCAATGTTCCAAAACGACACCATTTAATGACTAAAGTGCTTTTATGTTTTATGATGATGATATTATTAAATGAGGTTGGAGTTGAAAGATTGTTTTGTGTTTTTGGTGAAATAGAGAGCACTTAACTCTTCCTTCCACATATCATCTTCACGACCAGGAGGAGGATACAAAGACTCTGCCAGTATGCAAGTAACTTCTTTAATCATCATTACCTATTTTCTATAAGTAAACCAAACACCTTTTTTCAATAGTTTAGGAATCAAATAGCCCTACAAGTACATGAATACAGATGTCTGTTTACAAATGTAGCATCCACCACAGCTAACACAGGCCTACAGTAGGCTGTAACATCCACCACAGCTAACACAGGAAAATATCAAGGAGGAAGACAATGTTTTCGTGAAGATAGGAATGTGATTTTAGCTTTCTAACAAAATCATAGTGATGATAATACTTAAAGAGCGTGTCAGTATGACGGAAACGCACCACTTTACATAATAAATCAACACGACGACAAAGTTGCCTCCACTAACAATCAATGTTACGGCTGAGTAGCTGTTCTAAGTACTGTATCTAAGAAGGTGAATTTAAGTGGGACCATCCTGTTACTCTCTTCAAACCATCGACTACTACACGGCTCTCATCACCCCACAGGGGATCATCGACACAGCTGATTAGCCGTCCTCAGAAGACCACTTCCAGAACGAATGAAAGTAAACAGACAACTAAGAAGAAGGACATTGTGACCTCGTGGACAATCTGAGCCTTACATCTAAAAGGCCATCCGAAAGAGAAGGCCCAATCGACCCCTTCCCATTAAGGCCTGGGTCCAACAGAGATACACGACGAAGACCTCCAACACGTAAATACATGCATTGCTTTTCTTCCCATACGGGCGGCAGTTCCGGGCAAAGTATTAGTATTACTGTGAGCATAGGTCCATGTGTATCCAAGTGTTTTCTCTCTCTCTCTTTAACTCGCCATCTTTTGTAACAAGTGTCATATTGTGTTAGTCCACTAGGGAACGTTTTCATTGTATTACATTTCTAATCCCTACCTATGCCGTGTACGTGTTTGTATCTTGTGTTATCATTTTTAATTAGTTAGTAAATAAATAATTAAATCAATTTGTGTGGTACGGAATGATCAGTAAGGTTCGTGCAGACTTAAGAGCCTACGACTTTCAGAATGAGACTGATATGAGGTAAATGATTAAGAAATGACTGTTAAATGATAAGAGATATCTAGATATCTTTAGAGTCAATTCGGGAAACGGTAACTCGTTAAACAACTTTTCCCGTGGTGCCCCCAAATTCCTAATGAGTTAATTGTTACATTATTAATTTAATCTAGTAACGATTAAACATAGTAGGTAATTATTCAATAAATAATAGTCATCACAAATATGAAAGTCACGTCACGACACAGGCCTACAGTAGGCTGTGGCATCCACCACGACTGACAGTAATATGGTTACAATTAACTATGGATTTGCCATTGGATAAATTAGGCTATGTCTGTGCTTTGCTCACCTCACTAGAGTAGGGAATTGATAATGCTTGGTCATGTTTATCCTTTAAAAACGAACTTTATTTAAATAAATGTGTCTATACAATTTGTGCTTATGCTGCACTGTCTGGCGTGAGCAGTGTTGTGAGTCATATGAGTGTATTTTGTAGTCTGTCCCCACCTATTGTTATTAGTGTGACTATCTCACATACACTCAGAAAAAAGGGTTATTCGGCTGTCCCCATAGCAGAACCCTTTTTGGTTCCAGGTAGAACCCTTTTGGGTTCTATGTGGAACCCTCTGTAGAAAGGGTTTTACATGGCACCCAAAAGGGTTGTACCTGCAACCAAAAAGGGTTCTTCAAAGGGTTCTGTTATGGGGGACAGCCGAAGAACCCTTTAAGGTTCTAGATACATCATTTATGCTAAGAGTATTCTTATTAGTGGGCTTGCTGAAAGCAGAACCACTTGTTATTTGCTCTCCTCTGTCACCTGTAGGGTCAAGATCAGTGGTGTAATGGAGGGCATACACATGTATACACCATATACCCACTTATTAAAACAATTTAGAAAAATGTCTTTGTCACATGCTTCGTAAACACAGGTGTGAACTAACAGTAAAATGCTTACTTAAGGGCCCTTCCCAACAATGCAGAGAGAAAGAAAATAGAGAAATAATAGCTGAAAAAAAAGAACACATAATAATAAAAGTAATAATAGATACACAATGAGTAACGATAACTTGGCTATATACAAGGGGTGCCAGTACCGAGTCGATGTGCAGGGGTACGAGGTAATTGAAGTAGATATGTACATACAGTGGGGAGAACAAGTATTTGATACACTGCCGATTTTGCAGGTTTTCTTACTTACAAAGCATGTAGAGGTCTGTATTTTTTATCATAGGTACACTTCAACTGTGAGAGACGGAATCTAAAACAAAAATCCAGAAAATCACATTGTATGATTTTTAAGTAATTAATTTGCATTTTATTGCATGACATAAGTATTTGATACATCAGAAAAGCAGTGTTCTTGGGGTTGTACTCATCCTTCTTCTTCCTCCAAACACGGCGAGTGGAGTTTTGTCACGTTGCTGTGTATAGGTGTGGTGTAGAATCAGGCGCAGGCAGCAGAGGATAAGTCCAACAAGACTTTACTTAAGCACAAAAATATATCCAAAACAGCCCAGAGGCAAAAGGACGCACACAGGCGTAAAATGCGAGCGCACACACAGGTGCGTAAACTCTCCTAACACACAAGGAGGAAACTAAGGAAAATAGCGTACCGACACGGGTAGCGCAACCACGACACGAACAATACACACAACACTAACCTAACAACAAGGAAACTAAATAGGGTGCTAAATGAGACCTAACACAAAACAGGTGTGACTAACAGACAAAACCAAACAAACAAGAAACATAGAGCGGTGGCAGCTAGAACTCCGGAGACGACGACCGGCGAAACCTGCCCGAACAAGGAGGAGGAGCCGCCTCGGCCGAAACCGTGACAGTACCCCCCCCTTGACAGCCGCGCGCCGCCTCCGGCCTCGGGGACGACCAGGGGGACGCGGAGCAGGGCGCGCAGGATGACCACGATGGAATTCGGTCATCAGGGACGGATCCAGAATGTCCCTCCTTGGCACCCAGCACCGCTCCTCCGGACCGTACCCCTCCCACTCCACGAGATATTGGAGACCCCCCATCCGGCGTCTCGAATCCAGGATGGTCCGAACCGTGTACGCCGGAGCCCCCTCGATGTCCAACGGGGGCGGAGGAGTCTCCTCAATCTCAAAGTCCTGGAGTGGACCAGCTACCACCGGCCTGAGGAGAGACACATGGAACGAGGGGTTAATATTCTTGTAATCAATAGGTAGTTCTAACCTGTAACTCACCTCGTTCAATCTCCTCAGGACTTTAAAAGGCCCCACAAACCGCCGACCCAGCTTCCGGCAGGGCAGGCGGAGGGGCAGGTTTCTGGTTGAGAGCCAGACTCGATCTTCAGGTGCGTACACTGGCCCCTCACTGCGGTGTAGGTCGGCGCTCGTCTTCTGTCGACGTATGGCATGCTGCAGATGGACGTGTGCAGCGTCCCACGTCTCCTCCGAGCGCCGCACCCACTCATCCACAGCGGGGGCCTCGATCTGGCTCTCATGCCACGGTGCCAGAACCGGCTGGTACCCTAATACACACTGGAAAGGGGTTAGTGGGTGGAGGAGTGGCGGAGAGAGTTCTGTGCCATCTCGGCCCAGGGCACATATCTCGCCCACTCCTCCGGCCGGCCCTGACAATATGACCTCAGAAACCTACCCACATCCTGGTTGACTCGTTCAACCTGCCCATTACTCTCCGGGTGGTAACCCGAGGTAAGGCTCACCGAGACCCCCAAACGTTCCATAAATGCTCTCCAGACTCTGGAGGTAAACTGGGGGCCTCGATCGGACACTATATCCTCGGGCACCCCGTAATGCCGGAAGACGTGAGTAAATAGAGCCTCAGCGGTCTGTAGGGCCGTAGGAAGACCCGGCATGGGAAGGAGACGACAGGCCTTCGAGAACCGATCCACAACGACCAGGATGGTGGTATTCCC